CAAAGGACTTCAGTCAATAAATGATATAAATGTGAACAGGAGGAGTGGGAGCTCTTGTAGATTTTTGATTTTCATCTCTTCAGTATTTCTTAGAAAGCAAAGGCAAAGCAGTAAAAGTAATGTAAATAATACAATTACTGTTTCAGCTTCAGGGTCCTTCTGCGCATGATGGGTCCTTGTCACACTTTTCCTAACTTCCTGGAAAACGAATTCCTGAAGATTAGCTGTGAAAAAGAAACTGTAGCTGTAGTTAATTTTTTTTTTTCGCCTCTATTAACTTGGTAGCTTGCTAAGAAAAATAAGGAAGGTCTCAACTTTGGCTTTGGTGCATATTGATTTGATGACGATATTTACATTATTGTAAATGATAAAAGTGTTTGCTTTTTTTGTAAAAGGAAATTGCAAAACCTATTCCTAATAATGTTTTTTTTTCAACTATTAATAATAAACTAAAACAGGAAAACTCAATCCAGAAAGATCCAGAAAGAACAAAGTGTGATTTTGAAACAAAAATAAAGAGAAGTAAATAAATTAAAAAAAAAAAAAAAATCACAGCGCTGGCTCTCAAGCTGGTGTCACACTACCAAAATTCGAGTGTCTATCCTAAGATATTCAGTCATAACTTTCTGCAAATCACACCTAGTGTTATCCACACAGCTAATTTAGTAGGCTTGTTATTTATTATTATATTATTATATTTATTTCTTCAATTTTGATGATGTCATAAACACAAATACAGCATATTTTTGCTAACCAACAGCTCCATCCCGCTCTCAGAGTCCCAGATTTCCTACACCCCGTAGAAGCGCTCGCACACAGGAAGCACGCATGCGTCAACGACGGAGACTCCTGATTTGACAGCCCTGGAATCTACCACACACAGTCCACTATGTTGCAAGGCTTTCCGTTAGTAGCGCACCATCATCTGCACCTGCCTACTCCGTTGTTGTGGTTGGAGCGCTGGGAGGGGTCATTATTTTGCAGGGAGCTGTAGGAGGAGGAGGCACTTCCGAGACACCGACAGAAGCGTGTAGCTTTTAGATTCAGCACCACAAGACTGAGGAAAGCGTCCGGATTGAGTCTATTTGCACGTTTTGCTGTGGCTTTACTGAATAGGAGGCCCCCCCACCCCCTTCGTTTTCTGTTTGGGAAATACTCAGTGAGGACAGGCGCCGTGAGTAGTTTGTGGACCTACAAGAGGTGTCATCTCCAACGGTTAAAGGTATGTAGTTAGTTGTCAGCTGAGAGATTTTTGCTGCTAGCACACTGGTAGCATTACACTTGCTGCACTGACTGACCCGCCGTGCTGCTAACATTAGCTTAGGCGAGGTCCGGCTTTTCATTCATCATTGTGCTTTAGCCAGTTTGGCGGGGCACTTGACTACAACCCCTCGTCGAAATACTTTACGCTTCATTATTACCATAGCAGACTCAAGAGACTTTTATATACTGAGCTGGAAATTTCTCGTTAGCTAAAAATCTCAGTGTCGCCCACTCTGCTAACGTTATCTAAACCGCACTCCCGAGCGCTGCTATCCAGTGAACCCAGTGCTGAAAGCCTGTCTGTGGGGCAGAGCCATGCTAGGCTGCTAGGCTAGTATAGTAGCTAAAGCTAAAAGACACCGGGGTACTTTATTGCCAGTAAAATAACGGACCCACACCTGCATTGGAAGCTGCTTAATTATTCAGGGACTGCTTAGAACCCTTCCCGTTTCTTGTTTTACGCTGAGACAGTGAAGCATGCACCCGCCGTGTTGTTAACAGCACTGTTGCATTTCTTAGATAATTTTAATCCTCTTTGTTTAGCCGAGACTGTTACTTTGTTACTTGTGAGCTCATCACTCTTTTTCTGCGGCAGCCGAATACTTATTATTAGCTCGCAGCTGATTTTGATTCCGTTATTATAACACCGTCTTCGTCCGAGTCGAGGATGTGAAGTGAAGTGGCAAAGTGACGCTACACAGCTTTGCTTTGTCTCAACGCTGCAAGTGCAAACCCTACTTTAACGCCAAGTCCGTTCCTTTTTAAATGAGGAATAGCCGTTTTAGTAGTCTCTTTATTTAGCCCCCCCGAGTTCAATTACGCATAGACTTTTCATGCCCTTGAATCGCCCTATTGTCACATTATGGCACAGTGGAATAAACTAAAGCGCTCTATTCAGCGGAAGCACTCATACATAGGAATAACATACAGTCGAGTGAGGGTTTGGCATATTATACATTTTTGAGTTTCTGTTTTTTTTTTTCTTTGTAAAATTCTAAGTTTGTGTGTGTAGTGTTTGCGTTCATTTATTACCCTGCTTGGTGACCCAGTGTCACCAAGCCTCATTCCCTTCCTGTAACTGGAGATCTGAGATCCCAGAAGCCTCTAGAGTTCACACAGTGTCTCGATTTAGAATCTGAACTTTTGATTGGCAAGGAGGCATGCTGAGCTGACACTGATGGGCTGTGCTGGTCTCTCCCTCCTATGTTTATCTTCACATTTTGTTTGCTAGAAAGGGGAAGCCTGGAACAAATGAGACACTCGAAGTTCAAATCAAAGAGGAATCTTGTTTAGAGTTTTAATGATTTGGATTTTAAAAGAAGTCTTGAGGAAGAAAAAAAAAAAACTATATGTGTGTCCTGCAAAGGCATCAACAGATGTTATGTTTACCAGCTGTCACAGTGATTACACCTATAGTGATTATTTCCATGTTCGGGTTATTCATTAGTTATTTTCAAATACACAAATTAATAATTTAGTTTATACATTTCCAGAAAACTAGTAAGCAATTTTATGTAAAATGTCTCTACATTTTAATGTAGTTTAACATTTAACAGTATTACACATATTGAGGATAAATTAAATAAGGCAAAATGTGGAAAATGAGGCAGTTTTGCCTGTAAAATAACCTGAATGATAGTGCAAGTATGAAAACTGTTGACAAAACTGTCACATTAGTTTCTGAAGAATAGTTATCAAATAATCAGCTAATGATTTCAGCACTCAATTAGATTCCCGTGCTTCGATTTGATGATCAAAGAGAAGACCTGTAGCTGCGCTAATTTTGCTATGTAAAACTATAAGCACTAAATATGTCTTTTACACAATACTGACAAGAGACAGCCAAAGGAAGAGCTGTGATTCCACGCTGCCAAGAATGGACAGACTCTGCTCTGCCCTTTGGGAAATGCTGCATATGTGTGTCACTGTCTAACCATCTGCCTTAGACTTTATCTTTATGTAGGGCTTATTTGTTTAACCTTTGTGATTTATATATATTTAATTGTTGTCATTTTAACCAATGCTAAGTGTGCTTTAGTCTGTAGCATGACATTGTTTATTTACAGGGTTTTTAATCACATTGATCTTTTGGAAAAACCTAAAGGGGAAGCTCAGTTTCTTTGAAGTAGTTTTGTATGAGGTACTTACCCTTAATCACTGTATTACCTATAGCTTATACTGGCACTCCCTAGTTTGGAGAAGCAGTTTGTAGTATGGGGACAGAAGCTATGCAGTGCAGTGCTGTAGATAAGGTATGTCTGCTGTGATTTTGCCAACAGGCATAAGTAAAATGATTAGCTGGAAGTGACGCAATGCATTTGCTATTGTCTATTGCAAGCTTGGCCCTTTTCAGAAAAGGACAACAAAAACGTCTGGTTAAAAAAGTTGCTAAATAGACAACAATGAGATCAGCTGAAGCATGGTGATAGATTCCTTGAGTGATAGGATTGTCAGCACTCAAGCTGAGAGGTTCCATGTTTCCTTATAAACAAAGCAAACAAGAATATCCAAATTATGAAACCTAACATCAGTCTAACAAGCAAATATCTGAAGAGTCTGATAATGTCTAATGATTGGCTAAGTGGTTTAGTGCAGTGGTCCCCAACCCCTGGGTCACCGACCAGTACCAGTCCGTGAGTCGTTTGGTACTGGACCACGAGAGTTGAGGCTCAGGTGTGAAATTTATGGTTTTAAGGGGTTTTATTGTTTTTTAGCGTTATTTTTCTATAGTTTTTATTGTTAACCCGGTGTCCCTGGGTCTTTTCCCGTGTGTTACGAATAAATCTTCTTTTTTTGGTACCGGTACTGGTTTTATTTTGTTGTATTTATCCGCGACACCTTAAAGGCCGGTCGGTGAAAATATTGTCAGACATAAACCGGTCCGTGGCGCAAAAAAGGTTGGGGATTGCTGGTCTAGTGGCTTTTAAGACATTGTAGAAGTATATAACGTTCTCTGTTTCCCGATGGAAAGAGCCGTCTGAGGATAAAGAGGTGAAATAATACAGTTAACATTTAAATGATATCATTACATTTCTTTTTAGATAGACCTCTTTTTAGTTGGCTTAATTAGAGTTTGTTTGAGCCCACCAGCACGGCCTGCTGGATTTCAAACTAGAGTTGTTGCATGTGAGGAATACATTTGCTGCGGATAAGCACATCATACACCACTGCTTTGAAGAACTCAAACCTTTCAACAACAATTTGAAATCAAAGTCACACAATCACAATCAGAACATTGTCCATTGTTGAGCAAAATAAATTTGAACTAATTGTGAGACAATTAAACTCTTTTCTTATCCAAATATCAAAAAATGTAGTTTTTTCCAGCCACCTTTATGCAATCATGGAAACATTTTGGCTCATTTAGTGTATGTCATTTACAGTATATAATCCTGTTTCTGTCACTGGGGGATAAGGAAAGGCCATAATTTATGGGTGTGACTGTGCAATCAATCGCAGCCAGGAGTGCATTGTGTTCTCTGTCTCCTGGGAGAGGAAGTGATATTGGCTGACTACCATGGAACCCCCTGTTGTTGTTATACCGAAGCAGAGCTTTGAGGTAGCCATGGTTCCCCGCTAAGTGGAACACGACTGCTTCTCCTCTTAAGCCCTCTTTCACTCCAGCTCTTGCACAAATATTTGATGGTGTTTAAGAGATGAGGGATGAGGCAATAGCAACAACAGCAAACAATCGATTCTTGTAGCACACTTGTCCACAGTGTCGATTTTAACTCTCCTAAAACTAGGGTTTATATTATCCTACTGTGCCTTCATGTAGAATTGCACTGACCAGACAGCAGGCATTTTCACTAAGCATTCATTGTCTTCTATTTTCAAGGCATAATACTGTGCTGCTGCAAAACAGTGTTATTGGTCTGTGTGTGTGGGGACAGATAACTCTTTTTCAGCCTATTCAATAGTATATGACATGGGCATATGTTGCATTGGTTAGATTAATCCTTAACTTTTTATAGAACATTATTCCACAATGGACTATGGAGGAAAAAAATAGGACTGAGATCTTTATTTTTTCAAGGAGGACAATAAATTAGATGATCCAGCAGTACTTGAAAATATCGTGTCAGCAGCAGTTTGGCACAGCCACAAAGAACAGGGGTATTCTCTTAAGTTACTTTTCATGTCTATTATTCTGCAAAAGACCACAACTGCAGCTACAATGCCGGGAAAAAGGGCCGTTTGAGTGAACATTTATAGTGTTCCAGCCAAGCTTGATTCTTTACAAGACTGTCATTACCAAAAAAAGAGAAAAAAAGAAAAAGAAAAATCAATAAACTCAATCTCAATTACTGAGGATGGTCTGTGAGTGGGTGTGGTCGAATAACATTTCCTCCCATAAAAAAATGCTCATGAAGTGTTGGAAGCCATCGGGAGACTCAAGAAGCTAATAAAATTTAAATAAATGAAAAGTGCAATGTATGTGCATCTCTTGTGTCATCACGACTTGACTTGTGTGGGAACAATTGTTAACTTTTAATGTTTTGAAACTTGGATCTTAAAACCAGGTTGCAGCTAAATTTTTAACAGCACTTTGGAATTATAGGGATCCTGCCCTTTTCAGCCACTGTAAGCTGCGAACAGATATTCACAGATTTTAAGGTGTGGGATGGCTTCAAAATCAGAGTGTGATAATATTTTAAAAAACAAAACAAAAAAACATCCGTATAACCATCCATCTATTTTCTTTTGTTTATTCGGTTCTGAGTTGCAGTGGGCCGTGAAACTTATTCCAACTGCCAGAGGGTGAGAGGCAGGGTACACCAGGGACATATCACTAGTCCATCACAGGGCTAACACAGAGAGACAGATAACTATTCATGCTCATGTCCACATCAATGGCCAATTTGGCACTGTGCAAAGGGCTCGAGCCACCCCTCATTTCTTTATATTTTGCTTCCAAGGAGCAGATTTTTTGAAGGTCTTTCATGGTTTTTCTTTGGA